CTCACCGATAGGACCTTCGTGGTTCGGGTCGGAGAAGCGAACTAGCCAATGGAAAATATTGCCAGAGGCGTTCCTCAGGGGTCAGTTCTAGGTTCACTCTTTTTATTGCTCTACATCAATGATCTGCCTGAACGCCTAGGCTCGCCTAGCTATATTTTCGCGGAATACGTCAAAGTGGTAGGATCAAATGGGAGAGCGGAGCTAGGGAAGGACATAGGAGAAGGGCTCAAGTGGTCAAATACATGGGATCTGCCTCTCAACATAAAAACGAGTCATGTCTTGACCATTGGAGATCAGGAGCTGATAGTGGGGAGTAGTCATCGCGGTCTTTCACTAGAAACGACCCAGAAACCTAGAGATTTAGGAATCATAGTGACTGCAGACTACCAATGGGCGGAACAGTGTGCCGCAGCGGCTCACCGTGCCCGTCGAGAGCTTTTTAGATTGAGGTCGGCACTAACATGTAGGAACCTGGAGGTATTCCTACCTCCATACAAGGCCATTGTTCGACCGCATTTAGAGTATTGCATACAAGCCTGGACTCCCTTCTTTAAAAAGGACGCCGCTTGTCTCGGGGGGACGTCCAACGATTAGCTACGAGGATGATCGAAGGACATCGAGGGAATTCGTATAAGCAGAGACTGCAGGACCTTGGGCTCTTCTTCTTGGAGAGAAGAAGAATCAGAGGTGACTTGATAGAGACATTCGAAATCATGAATGGCCTATCATGGACGGATCAAGCAGTGTTGTTCGAGAGGAGAGAAAGCAATACTAGGGGGCACATGAACAAGCTGATGAAAGTACGCACGAGACTAACGGTGCGTTCAAACTTCTTCAGCAACAGGGTAGTCAACTCATGGAATAAGTTACCACAAAAGCCGGTGGAGCTGGGAAGCTCACATGCTTTCAAGAAAGAGCTTGATAAACGCTGGTTGTACTTATTTCCTGAAGTATATGCATAGTTTAAGGTCTGGTAGAAGTTATAAGTTTTCTCATTTGCTAACCATCCCAAATAGGGGAGCGCTTTCAAATGTGAGGTCTCTCGCCTGAACAAGGGGAGAGGCTATTTTTTCCCTTTCTCTTCCCTTGCAGACGCGGAAATGATTGGTACGAGAAGAAAACACGTAGAACTACAATATAGAACACTCGCAGCGGTAAGGGCCAACACGTGGCTTACTATCGAAAGAACTCTGGACGCTCGATTGACCGGGGCCATCTCCTGTCCTGTGCAAACTGATTGACTGACTGACTGAGAACACTGCAGCTTGGTCGCACAAGAAACTGGACACTCGTTTAACATTAGCCGCTAGTCCCCTGACCTGACCTGACCTACCTCTCCTGAAATTTAGGACCTTCAAAATCCACCCAAAACTGATTGCATGGATAGAACACTTCCTGAAAGGAAGATCTTTCCATGTGAATATAGGAGGGTCCAAATCGAGGAAAGGCAGGATGGCAAGTGGAGTTCCACAGGGGGCAGTTTTAGGCCCTTTCCTTTTCCTAGCCTATGTAAAGGTCTTACCAGAGGGGTTGGAGAACCCAGTTTACATGTTCGCTGACGACTTGAAAATGGTAGGTTCCCCCACCAACCAGTCCATAGAGAGGGATATCCTCATACGCTGGACTGAAGACTGGGAGCTACCGCTGAACGTGGCCAAGTGTAGGCAGCTCATACGGACTGAAGGCACAGGCTCGGTGCGGCGGATTAACACTGAGAACCCAGTGGAACTCCAAAGGAGTGAAGAAATGAGGGACCTGGGAATTCAGGTCACCAGTAGTTTCAAATTAGAGAGGCAGTGCCTACAGGCGGCACGTAAGACAAATAACGCCCTGTACTAACTGCTGAGAAAAGTTGTCTCGCGGGATCCAGAGGTGTAGCGTTTCTTAAACCGAAAGTTTCGCAACGGCAGTTTTTTTTCTTGCCTCTTGTTGTTCTCCAAGTTCCCATTCAAGCTGGTCGTGATTATCAAATCACGTACCAGAAGCCCTTTCACTCTACACTGGTGATTAGCAACAGGACGCGTTCAGTTTCCAACCCGTCATGCACAACTGAGGATTATCAAGGCATGGTTACATAACCGTGGCATAATAATAATAACCATCAAGGTTCAGATATCAAGTAGATATTTAGCCTCTCGATCAGGTAGCTAGAACTACCGCTATGGTTTTTCCTTCTTACTTAAGGACCCTTATCCACCGGACACAATCAAGCGTACCGTCGAAACTTAGCATTTATCGCCATTAGTTGGCGATAACTATTTGTGATAATCGCAATCGTAATAGTAATTCGGAATAACGTAATTCCCGCGTAAGTACTCCGACCAGAACTAAGGCGCGAGCGAAAATAAGAACTCGTGAGGGCGACAGAAGTAAAGAATTATATTCGCGCACTTGTAAGCTACATTATGTCTTACGTATATTAAAACAAGTACAAGTCCAAAGTCTTTATGTGCAATCACCACACTATTCTCCGGGGAAAGTTTCTTTATTGGATATAGCAACTTGGAAATTTCCAGGATTAAGTTTTGATTTAACTATTATCGTTCTTTTGATGAACTCAAAAGGCGTGCACCGACACAATTCCCACGATGAGCTCTGTATCGCACGCTTTCGTTGCATTGATCAGATCTACTTTCAGGTTTCCGCTGCCGTTGCCTAAATAACAGCCTAGGCCCAGCCAAACCTACTTCCAACCTTTCGGAATATTCAGAATATATCGTTTTTCACAAACCCAATCTTTGATTCTGTTTCCTCTTGCGACGGGTATTCAAAACGAACGTGAGCAAATATTACTGACAGACTCTGACGAACATCAGCAACCATCGAGTCACTAAAGAGGTGTTGGTACCCCTATATAAAGTGTATGTGAGACCACATTTGGAATGCTGCATCCAAGCGTGGTCGCCATACCTGGAACGGGAGACGAAGGTCCTAGAGGCGTTGCAACATAGGTTCACGAGATGCTTCCCCCATATTAAGGGGAAAGACTACCCAACTCGTTTGTCTATGCTGAACCTATTCTCCCTGAATAGGAGACGCCTTAGGGGTGATTTAATTGAAGCCTTTAAGAGTATAAAAGATATTACTGATACGGGTGCTCCACTGTTCACTGCCAATGACAACGTCGACAACGTGGACACTCTTTGAAATTGGCGAAAGAGCGTTCCAGACTGGAAGTTCAAGCACAGTTTCTAACAAACCGTGTGATGAGCAGCTGAAACAAACTCCCAGAAGCAGTGATCACCACAACGAATGTGTTAAGTTTTGTGCATAAACTGAATGACTTCTGGCTGACTATATTCCCTGATTTGAAGTGATCAGTGCAAGGTGAACCATAGGCTATCCGGAGAGTCCCTAGTTGAAAGAAAGTCTTACATCTTGCTGAGTTTTCCCTTTCCCTATTATCCTTCTAGTCCGTGACAAATAACTTTTCTTTTCTTTCCTTTATGAAATAAAACTCTCACGTTCTCCTAGCCTTGATTTACACCTTATATTTACCCGCCGGTAGAGCGTGTCTGGCTTGAATTTCTCGCACAGAAATCGGTTCAGGCGATGACCCTTTATTGACTGGGCCTACTGATATTACCGATTGACCATTCCAACATCTCGTTTGCACATCTGCCAGTCATCCAGAAACCCGAAGTGAAGGATCAAGAACTTCTCCTCCAGTCGAAGCACAGTGACATCGCACCAGAGCTAGGAACAGCGGTTGAGGGACCTAAATCTCTTTTCGCTGGAACGTAGACGACTGCGAGGAGACCTAATAGAGACCTTTAAAATAGTCAGAGGGCTATCAGGACTTCCAGCAGATGACTTGTTTACGGTTTCTCGTGCTCAAAACACGAGGGGTCATAGCTTTAAG